CGTTCTCGGAACTAGTATTACTAAAAGCATGAACAAAATAAGTTGAAAGTTGATTTACGGTTTTACCCCTTCTATAAATTAAAATGTTATAAAATATTTAAATATTTGATTGTATAAGTTTAATTAAAATGTTAATGACTTTTAAACTTCCTAAGATTAATTCCTAATTAAATGTCTAATTTATTAATATTTATCATCTATAATCTATATGTAATTTTTATTTTTATTTTAAAAATCTCTACCTAAATTACTATACTTTTCCTCTTCTCATAACTTTTTCCTTAACCCCTCTCATAATTAATATAATTTATGTGAAGTATTATCCTTTATGATAAATAACGAAATTTAATAATTTAAAGAGTGCAAATCTGCAAAATGGAGACACACACATGGATAATGTCCTCTTGATTATTATTAAAGAATGACTCTAGCTTCACAAATTTAAATTCATTGAGGCTTAATTACGTGATAAGAACTTTAGTTGTTCTTTCTACATGGTTTGCTAACTTTAATTTTCTTTTTCCTATTTTTCATTTATTTATTATTATTTTCTAATTACTTATTCAACTTTTATACTCTTAATATCCATAACTCTCATCTTTTTATATTCATAACCTCCAAATATTTAAACTAAAAAGATATCTTTTGATATTCCTTCTATTCTATCTATATAAATTCAACTTCTTTATCTCATGAAACCCCTACCAAGATTATTAGGATATTATTTTTATTCCATAGTTAAAGTAGATGAAGAAGACTCTTGAATTTTGATAGGATATGGAAGGAGTCGATAAGAACTCAGAGAGCTATGTACTAATTTTGTACTTATTTTTTCATCTATATATACATCAGTCTTATAAGAATAAAGTCTACATTGTATTTTTTCTTAAATTGTTTCTTTTTGTCTTTTTTTTTCTCTATTAGACTTCTTAATTTAGTTTTCTATGAATGTTTTATTGCCGTAAGTCTTTATTCTTATTTTGTAATTGTTGCATTTTATTATTCATTACAATTTACATATATATATTTCCATGAAATTTTAGTCATTCTAACGTATCTATAAAAATTCTCATGAAGCACACGTGCGAAGCACACGTGCGAAGCACGTGCGAAGAAACTAGTGTAATATATAACTGAGAAATTAATTAACTCTTACCTAATCCAACTAATGTCAACAACCATCTTTATTGCAATAATAAATATATATAGTGATAGTACTACTTACTACACAATAGTTATTTCAATGTCATTTCCTTGAAATTTCTTTTGGAGCAATTTCGTGTTAGTTTCTACTGTCAATTCTAAATACTATGTACTTGTTGAAATTTCAAAGAAATTCATTTTTTTTACTTATTGAAATTTCAATTGATTTTCTTTCTACTTAAACTTTTAGCTTATTGATGAGAATTCGATTCCTACATTGTAATCTTCATCGGTCCATTTAAATTACGTGGATTCACGTGAACACATACCACATTAGCTAGATCTGCCCCTGACCATATTACAACTTGCATTGAACATCTATTACCATTGCAACATCTGAGAGCAGAATATTCGATATATTATGTCTCAATTCCGAACAAGTGAGCAAAATTTATAGACAATAATGTAAAATTCAATTGCACCAACCAACCTATAAAAAATGATACATTATCACTTTCGTACTACAACTAGGACATTTGATCCCAACCAACTGGTTATCATGTAATATGAATCTTTATATCCTATATTCCAGACAAGGACCCATGGGGGACTCAAAGTCGATATACCTGTCTCATAATCTCATCAACTTGCCACCTAGCTCATGATCCAGGATATAAGTAAGATGTCACATTTTCTTCGTGTTTCTCTACTTTCTCATATTTCCATAAATAATGATATGTTGCATGAGGATAAATGCATCACAACATATACAACACAAATGCATAATCAATTCATCAAGGATGTCAAATAGTATTAGATTCCCAAGCAAGTCATGAAACATGTTCTCAAATGATAAGGATAATAGGTGAAACCATTTGAAAATCAGTCTTTACCACTTAGAAAGAATTTCTTTCATTTTAAAGATGTTCCAAAAATCAAGTCAATCCCCTAACTTAGGCATCTCAATGCCATATTAAGGATTGGCCACACAACCGCTCGCTCGAGCAATTACTCAAATATCACAGGTTTTCAGCAACAATTAAAAGTATAACACAAGCCTCCACACACGCTAAGCATAACAAATAGTCGTCATACAAACAAAATAAGGAGGTCAACCACACCAACTTCTAAGACTCATACTACTACTCATTTCACAGTTGACTTCCTAACCAAGGTTAGTTACTCATATCAGGCCAAGAAATGGATAGCCAAACTTACCTCGAAGGCCGAAACATCACACGAACAACTCTATCAGAGCACCTCCTCAGCCACACGATCACCCGAATAATCCCCAACTATCAATAATGGATATAGTTCATCAAAAGGATCCTAACGATACCCATAATGATATGATTAGGAACCGGGGATAAAATAGTTCAAAAATTACTTCGGAAATCGAATGGGTAAAACAAGATTTTTAGTTGAAAATCAAGTTCTACAAGTCAAGAGGGATTTTGAAATCCTGGATACACCTCTGATTTCAATGTCATTTCCTTAAAATTTCTTTTGGAGCAATTTCGCGGTAGTTTCTACGGTCAATTCTAAGTACTATACCTTTTGAAATTTCAAAGAAATTAATTTTTATTATAGGCAAAGGAGAAGTAATAATTAAATGGCGGAAATCTCAGTAGCTCAGTTGATTGTCTTTCTACTTAAACTTTCAGCTTATTAATGAGGATTTGATTCCCCACATTGTAATCCACATCGACCCATCTAGCTTATGTGGATTCACGTGAACACATACCACATTAGCTAGATCTCCCCCTGACCACGTCACAACTTGCATTGAACATCTATTACCATTGCAATATCTGAGAATAGAATATTCAAAATTATTATGTCTCAATCCCGAACGAGTGAGCAAAATTTATAGACAATAATGTAAAATTCAATTGCACCAACCAACCTATAAAAAGATGATACATTATCACTTTCGTACTACAACTAGGACATTTGATACCAACCAACTGGTTATCATGTAATATGACTCTTTATCTCCTATATATCGTGCTTGATTTTTCGATAACTCTACATGGATTCTAGGAAATTGTATATATTTATCAAGACAATTCCTATCGTATGATTTTAGGTCTTCCTTATTAATTGCCTTTTAACTCCATCAATCATCATGGTTGTACATGCTAAACATAAGTATTAAATTATTAATATCAGAATCTTGAATATGATGAACCCAATTGAAAGCATCGTAAAATATGTATTTGAAAATTAAATTTATACCATATTATAAGGTTACCAATTCTTCTATGGAAGTGACAATTGATAACTCTAAAAAGAACTTGACCATTACCACCAAGGTATGGAAAAGAGCTATGAGCTAGAAGTTGTAGTTTCAAGACTTAGTCCAACTACAACTCATCATATTGACTTGGGTGGTGACAAGTTTGACGGACTTAGTCCAACTATAACTCATGATATTGACTTGGGTGGTGACAAATTTGACGGACTTAGTCCAACTATAACTCATGATATTGACTTGGGCAGTGACATATTTGACGGGGATGATGGGTGACTTTATCATGTAAAATTATTACTTTTAATGGTAAAATTGATTGAGTAATTTTATAAAAGAAAAACTCAAAGTTAAGTGATTTTATTGATATAAAACAAAGTTGAATGACATTACAGGATAATCTTTCAAAGTTGGGTGACGTTTTGAGATATTTACTTGTTTGTATTTGACTAATTAATTTGAGAAGAAATTAATGATTTCCACAAACTTATATTGCAATATCATCTCAACTTTGCGATTTAGAGCTGATATACCCTCATTATAAAAGTAGATCATATATTTCATTATTTTTACACAAATAAATCAGATATACCATTTTGATCTTAAGAAAGTGAAAACATAAATTTTAAATTTTATTTTTTAAGTTTTAATTTTTAAAAAGTCATGTAGGATATATTAATTGATCCTTCACACACGTGAAATTTTTTACTTCTTTGATTCAACCGCTAATTTGGGTTTATTACTTTAATGGTCAAATTTATTTTAGAAATGTTTTTACCCTGTACCGAATTCACCCTTAGCTTAATTCTTAAGCTGTGATTTTCTTCTCCCAATTGAATTCCTATGTGTACTATGTGAAATGGAAAAAATGTGCAATTAAGTGAATTGATCTCTTTCAGCCTGCTTATACTCATACTCAGGTCACTAAAGTTATAACAGAAATGTTTATTGATTCTCACATATAAATGTGACATTGTTTATGAATAATCTTGTGTAGCAAGGTTTTTGAGAGATCTCTAGCGATCAAAGCGTCATTCAACCTATAAGTATAAATGATCATATATATGTCTATAGCATAGTATGAAAATAACATCTAAAACATATTTTCAATGAAATTGCTAGATTATTTTTGTCGCAATTAAACTCAGGATTATAGCAGAAGCCTCACACTAATCTTTCCAAAGGAAAACTGATGAAAGAATCACCCAAATTGTTGTGATGAACAAAACCTGTTTGCCAGAGGAGATAACAACAGAAGAATCATTCAAATCCTGACTGAGCTATGCCAAATCCAATACCTTGTGTAGAAGCTGTAACAATCACCACTATCCCTTCAAGTTTGGGCAATCACTAATTATCGATGGCTCACTGGGCTAACGTTAATACATGAAAAATGCCTAAAATCCTGTTTTTGTGATAGCGAGTCCAAGTGATGTTCCTCTGTATAAAGTCTTTTCTTAATAAACTCATTTCCTGTTCTGCATCTAAAATAGGTTCAAAACACTCAAATGAAATTACAAACAATACATGACTCCAAGTAGTACTATACGACGACTTCACTGAATAAACAAAAGGCATCATATTAACTTGCAACTCAGAAAAGAACACCATCTGAACAGATTATGATCACTTCTATGTCTCCAGAAATATGTTGTTGATTTTGTTAAGCCTCTTCACTACTTCTTTCATGCTTATTCTTGACTCTGGCATTTCCTTTGTGCAGTCTAAACCCAATTCTATCATGGACGCTATGCAGATTTCACTTTTACTAGTGATTTGTTCTTCCTCGGAAAAAAGATTGGCATCCACAACATCCATCATACTCCCTGAAAATGATTGTGTTATCCATTTCCTCAAGTCAAGATTTTCATTGCATATCTCTTCATCCGTTGGCCTTCTTTTGGTCAAAACCTCCATCAACATGATGCCGTAACTATAAACATCACCACAAGCAGACACTATTCCCTCCGAGCCATATTCTTAGAAAAGAATTGAAGAAAAGTTACTCAGTTGAAATACAACAATAATTCAATTTTTTCTTCTACAACTTGGAGAGGCTTAATTATGATAAGAGAAAATCAATGAGAGTAGATTCTTTTTTATACCTGGTGCAATGTATCCAAGAGTGCCCAATGTCTCTGTATAAGCCATGGACTGGCTTATGGCTAAAATTTTAGAGATTCCAAAATCACCAACATGAGCCACCATATCTTCATCCAAAAGTATGTTGGCTGGCTTTAGGTCGCAATGAACTATTGGAGTTACATGACCATGATGTAGATATTCAACTGCCATAGCTACATCAAGCATTACAGTGACTCTTTGATGAAGGTTCAAATGGCGATCTTCTTTGTACAGCCAATTCTCAAGACTCCCATTGGGCATAAATTGCAGAACAAAGGCTCTTATATAGTCACTAGAACATGTAGTAATCACTGGAACAAGATTTCTGTGTCTAACATTTCTCATCACTTCGCATTCGGTATCAAACCTCTTGCATACTTGCTCATTTTCCAAATCCAGAACCTTAATGGCCACTGCAGTTCCACCAAACAATGTGCCTTGGTACACAGAGCCAGAGCTTCCCTCACCAATTAAATTGGATTCATCAAAATTATTTGTTGATCGTTGAATCTCGTGATAAGAAACTAATTGACGAGTCCCGATCTCCGGTACCTTCTCTAAATCTTTGGACTTCCCTTTCTTCTGTCGTTTCATTATCCAAATTGAAACGAACAAGAATATCAGAAAGGATGCAATAATCACTGGAGTAACAATTTTTAGCAGAACCTCCTTAAGCTTCAATTGTTTTCCAGGATTAGTGATAGCACAAGCAGGAATCTCCAATATGTGCATTCCGCAAAGACCTTTGTTCCCGAGAAATGATTGCAAAGTGGAAATTGCAAACACGCCACCACTTGGTATTTCACCTTCTAAATCATTAAATGAAACATTAATTCTTTTAAGGTATGAGAGTTTTTCCAAAGACTTAGGAATAGTACCGGACAAGGCATTTAAAGGCAAATCCAAGGATTCCAAGCTTATCAAGTTGGCAAAGGATAATGGAATTTGGCCAAAAAATGAGTTGTTCGATAGGTCAAGAGACTGCAGGTTTTGGAGTTCCCCCAATCTGGTCGGTATCACACCTGAAAGGTGGTTACTGTAAAGATATAGTTTGATAATGGCTTTCAGTCCTCCAATATCTGATGGAAGTTCTCCCTCTATTGAATTTTGTGACACACTTAGATAGAGAAGACCACTCATCTTCCAAAGGCTCAAAGGAAATTTTGATGAAAATTTATTAGAACCCAAAAAAAGGTGTTGTAGCATGCTAAGATTTCCAAAGCATTCTGGAATTAAACCAGAGAGTTCATTATCATACTGATATAATTTAACCAAGTTTGATAAATGGCATACCGTCTCTGGAATATGTCCTTGCAATTTATTGCTATATAGATACAGCCCTTGGAGTTGTTTAAGCTTACCAACATCAGAAGGAATACTCCCTGTCAAGTTGTTTCCGCCAAGGGTTAGGGATATAAGACCGCTCATGTTGCCTATACTTGTGGGGATGAGGCCATTGATGTGTGCATCTGCTATTTCAAAGTTTTGAATAGTAGATGAAAGATTCCCAATAGAATTAGGCAGAATGCCATTCAACAGATTAAACCCCACTGATAGATATCGCAACATCCTACAGTCCGCCAAAGAATTGAAGAATCGCAATTCAAGCTCTGTTGGTTCATTGGTAAGTTGATTAGTATGTAGGAGCAGTATTTGCAGCTCACGAAGATTCCCCAAATTAGTAGGAATAGTGCCTGTCAGAGAGTTACTAAATAGATTCAGTATCTGAAGCTTAGAAGCATTTGTTATGAACAATGGAATTTCCCCTTCCAGCTTATTGACTGCCATGCTAAGTTCCTTAAGGTTAGGAAGATGAAGACCTGTAGTGGTTGGAATTCTCCCCGAGAGGTTATTGAAACTGAAAGCAATCACTTCCAAAGAAGATATGTTGAAAATAGCCTCTGGAATTTCACCAATTAGATTAGAATTATTGTCAAAGCCTAATTCCCTCAAATTTGATAGCTTCCCTAATTCCGGAGGAATTTGCCCCACCATGCGATTGTTTTTGCAATAAAGATATTGCAGAGTGGAAATATTTCCCAACGAAGTGGGAATAGTCCCTTTTATTGGATTATCACCAATATAAAACTCCTCGAGTTTGGATAAACAACCAATATTTCTGGGTATGTCTCCAATTATATTGTTGAAAGATATGGACAAAACTTTGAGCTCTGTGAGTTGGCATATGTTGGAAGGAATGCAACCAGAAATTTGGTTGTTAGACATACTAAACCGTTTCAGATTTGACACAATATTCCCTTCATCTAGCAAGAGAGGACCGGAAAGCCTATTGATTGCAAGAGATAAGGCAAGAAGTGACGAAATATTAAACAATGTTGTGGGAATGAAACTTGTTAATTGATTGCTGTACAAAAACAACCCTGTAAGTTGGCTTAGATTACCGATCTCCTTTGGAATGTTGCCGCTGACTCTATTCTCAGACAAATCGAAGTTCATCATTTTTGTGGCATTTCCAACATAAGGAGGGATTATACCCGTGAGACTATTGCTCCTGAGATTTAAGACTCTGAGTTGGGGTACGTACCATGGCCCTCTCCACATTTCACCACTGAGTTCATTGAAAGCCAATGCAATAACTTGAATTCTCTGGTTTTGAAATAGACTTGTTGGTATACTTCCGTTGAGCTGATTGTTTTGAATATCAATCACTCGAAAGCGAGGCAAGTGGCCAAGTCCATAAGGGATGCCACCACGAAAGCTGTTGTTCTGGAGATTGAGAACACTGAGGAAGGACAAATTGGCCAAAGATGGGGAAATTGTGCCTTGAAGTTGCAAATTAGGAAGAGTCAAGGCTACAACCCTTTGCCTTTTTGGAGTGCATGTGACACCGAACCAAGAGCAAAAAGAGGTATTTTTGGTCCAATTATTAGTCAAAAAATGACTAGGATCACTTGTAATGATAAGATTTTGGAAAGCTAGTAGAGCTTGTTGGTCAGTCTCATTTGAGGAAGAAAGTGATAGAGAAAATTGAATTTGAAAGAGAAGAATCAATAAGACAATATTCTTCTTCATGATTGATTCAAAGCTTGATTTGTTTTTCAAATGTATATATTATTCCATTATATAGCAACACTTCTGTTGTACGTTGACTTGACAAAGCAATTGTACTATCACATCAATAATACAATACATTAATTTGTGGGTATGTTTGTTGTTTATATGTCATAGTCTGAATCGATAAGAAATTTGAGCAGGCAGTGAAAACTTTTGAAATTATTAATCTTAAATATATCATAATATATGTATGACTATAATTTATTTATTTTCTCATTATAGAAAAACTGAAATGTTTAAAGTTAAATATATTATCTTTTTTACAAACGTACTAGTGAAGTTAAATGGTTTTGATTTCCACAAACTTATTTGTGGGGGTATTTCACATTATTGAAATGTCATCACATTGAGGAATTGCGTAATCTAAGGGTTAAGGAAATTGATTGAGAAAAGTCAGTTAACTTAAATTATTTTAAAACAAAATTATATAAATAAAAAAAGGTTGCATTATATATATGGTACAAACCCAAGTCAACCTAAGGGGTCATGCAGTGTAAGACAAGTTTGGAAAAATTGCATGTTGCTTGACCTAAGTTGCCATCATAACCCCACATGCATTTATCATCTTTGGACCAACTAACCTGTAATAGCTCTTTTTTTCTAATGGAGGGTAAATTGGTGATTTAATAATAATAATAATAATAATAATAATAAATAATAAATAATGAATAATCAATAATAATAATAAATAATGAATAATCAATAATAATAATAATAATAATAATGAAAATTAAAAGGCTCTATTCTATTATTTATGTTACTCAGTGTGTTTCCTAAGGAACAGAAAGTAGGGTGATGCGTACACAGTTTTATTCCTATCTTGTATTGAAGGTAGAGAGACAGTTTGGAAACATTCGGCTCAAGTAAGACATAACTAAATCGGTAAAAAATTAAAATATATAAGTGAGGAACCATATAAAAAATAATTTGTTGATGATCATTATTATTTCGATTTATTACGTAACAAGTAGTTTTATTTTTGAGGAAATTTCCATTCGTATTGGGAAGTATCACATCACGGTAAAACATTCCTTAATAGAGACGACTCTATATTATTCAATTATATCATACCACTTTATGTGTTGACTTGACAGAGCAATTGGTATTTGCCCAAGTCTTCACGGCATCAACAACAACAACAGTCAATGTAATATCACAAGTGTACAAAGTCTTGCCCTTAATTATTTCTCAAATCTTCCCTGCAAACGTATGGAATGGTCCTTAAGATTTTATCCACAAACACTTTAAACTAATTATTTGATCATAAATACTAAAAATTAAGGTGTAAAAGTCTTATTATTTATAGTTTGGAAATCAGAGTATTTATAAACATACTATTATTTTTTATAGAATTTATTGTCTCTTCATACATGACTTATCCACCATTAACCTAATGCTATATGTTTCAGCTTTTTTTTTCAACAAAAAAATGAGTAAACATTTTATCAAATTCATTCTTAAAGGTGAAAGTTAATATATATGACAAATTAAAAGTACAAAAAAAAAAAAATAAGAAGAAAGAAACGCATGAGCAAGACAGTTAGATTTGCTTTACTCTATAATGAAAACTGAAATAAAAATTAACGTAACAAATAGTTTATATTTGAGCAGCTCTACAAAAGGAAAAACTACAAAATATGGCAAACATTAATATACATTTAAAATAAATAGCTACAGTTTATTTTATTTTTATGTTATATGGATATAACTACACAAAAAATAGCAAAGTTAATTATATATAAATAATCAGAAAAGTCATTAATATTAAATAGGAAAATTATTATTACACAACTAATTAATTATGTCTAGGCATGTTTTATGCGATTGGTTCCCCATGTTTACCCTCGTTAATCCTTTCTCTTTCATCAATCTTCCTACATCACAAAAAATTCAATTTTCTCCCAAATTTCTTCCAATTTAAGATCTTTTTGATGATGCTAGGAGCAATTTTTGTAATTTGAATTCATCAGATATCGTTTAATTGATTTTCTCCTCTTTTTATGAAGATCATATTTGTATACATATCTATTGCATCTATTTTTATAGGCTTTTGATTGAAGAATTATTTGTTTCTACATTACAATGGCTATAGTTATAAAAAAAAAGTAGTACAAGAAGAACACGAACAAAAAGAGATCGATGTTTGTGTATTGTCAAATTTGTATATAGTAGAATAGTTATATACATAGATACTTGTATTCTAATATTAACACAAGTTGAAATGGTGATTTGTGAATACAAGTATATTTGGATACATAAGTAATCTATCGAATTTGAAAGGTTAATTAGGCAATACAAGTATAATTGGATACATTAATCTTTTTTTTTATAAACAAATACATGAGTAAACTCCAAGCCTCAAGTATTATAAGAAAAACTTGACCAAAAAGAGATTGACGTTTGTTGGTTTTTTTCATTTTTTATACAGCTGAATGCTTGCACACTTTTGCTACCTACACATTCTATGATTTTTCATGTTTTTTGTTTATGTATTGTCAAATATATCCATCTTTTGTTTGACAATAATGTATTTATATGTATACTATATTGGTGTATTCATTTTTTTGTTTAACAATAATGTATTCATTTTTCAAATATGATTATCGTGTTCATATGCTAAATTATTATACTTTATCTTGTTAATATATTAATACATTAAGTTTTTACAAATACTTGTATCCTTGATATATTAATACTTTACATTTTATAAAGGGAAAAGGGACAAATATACCCCCAAACTATTGTAAATGGTATGCAGATACCCTCCGTCATACTTTAGGAACATTGGTGCCCCTGCTGTCCAAAAACTAGAGCATATATACCCTTTATACTAACGGACATACACGTGTCATAATCTTATCCATCGACCCGACATCGGATCAAAGGATAAGATTGCGCCACGTGTCCCTATTTAGTCTTCCGTTAGCGTGAAGGGCATATACACTCTAGTTTTTGGACGGCAGGGGCACCAATGCCCATAAAGTATGACGAAGGGTATCTGCATACCATTTACAATAGTTCGGGGGTATATTTGTCATTTTTCCCTTTTATAAATAAATAAACTAATTTGAATTTGAACAATTAATACAGTTTCCTTATTTAGTTCATTATAATTAAAACTGTATCGGTGTATAAATAGAAAAATAAAAAACATATACAATAATATAGCTAGAAAAAGAGTTAAATTGTAGTCATTTTTATAAATACCATATTTATAGCTATTGAACTTTAATAACCCTATAAATATAGTCATTTTTGTAAGTTGCTAAAAAAAAACTGAAATTAAAGTAAGTTGCTAACCGAAAGTAAACTAGTGCAGCTAAACACTTCCATAATATTTCTTGATTTTATTCAAGCATTCAAAACATATTGAAGACTACTCAAATCTAAAATCACAAAATGAGGGAAATGCAACACTCTGAAGTACAAACAATACATGTCTCCAGGAAGTACGAATGACTAAAGAAACAAAAAGCATCATATTAACAAAGAATACCATCCGAAGAGATGCCGATCACTTCTATGTTTCCAGATATGTGCAGTCTAATGCCAATTCTATCATGGTGGCTATGCAGATTTCACTTTTACAAGTGATTTGTACTTCCTCACAAAAAAGATTGGCATCCACAACGTCCATCATACTCCCTGAAAATGATTGTGTTATCCATTTCCTCAAGTCAAGATTTTCATTGCATATCTCTTCATCTGTTGGCCTTCTTTTCGTCAAGACTTCCATCAACATGATGGCCAACATAACAATAATATGACAGCTTATGGTTATAATGATGTTTTTTGATGAACCATCAATGGGTTGGGCTCGAAATGGGTTTATAATTCTGGTTCTTTTATATTTGGCCAATCGAGCTCTTAGATCGGCTTACTACTCAGCCAAATTCCTGGGACCAGGCAGTTTTCAGTGAAGAGCTGGCTTTTCCATCACATCCTGGGTATATACGCTTCCAGGAGAACAATGGATATCTACCTAGGTCCTATTCAAGACTGTAAGAAAAGATGCTAATCTGAAGAAGTTGAAACCAGTTATTATAGTTCATGTAAACTATATATCACTCGGACAAATGAAAGCAGTTGTTGAGTACTATATATGTCAACGGCAAGCAGGATGCATTCCCAGATGGTTCAGTATAGTAGCAGCTGCTGAAATGGACTTTCGATTGAGATCTAGGCCAGTGTCTTGCTATTTGTCTTTTCAAACAGGTAGGCTCAGTTGATTCCTCTTTTGGATCAATGTGTAATACCAACCTCTTTTTTTTGAGAACTCAATGTGTAATACCAACTACATTCAGAACGTGTTTCTTTTTCACCACAGTAGTAGTTTTATTCGAAAATTTTGCAGTATTTGTACCTTTCTTATTTAGTGGCTTGCTCATATTATATATTCTTTGGTTCATCTTGTCTCTTGAGTGGCTACTGGAAGAACAGCGGGATTCTAGCAGCAAGGGCATTGAAGTAACGACTCTGTTTGCAAAAAGAAATGATCACCTTACAAGCCTATTTAGTTATCGTCCTCATTTAAAGCCATATAGCTATTATTCTTTTTATGATGCATATAGACATTTTAGATGACAGTAATGAAGAGTAAACAATGAACAGAAAACAACACCACCAGTTTACGTGGAAACCTCCTTTCTCAAGGGAGTAAAACCACAACCTGTCACACAGGATTTTCAACTGTTTTCACTAATCTTCTCAAGCAAAAGTGAAACACTTATTACAAACACCAACGAGATTAACCTCTTAATCTCAAAAGCTAAGTAATACGCCTATTACTTACTGAGCCTAAGCAGATACCACAATGCCCACCAAGTCATCTCACCCTAGACAACTTATACTTTAACTAAGCAGATACAACGCTGCCCACTAAATCAGCTAGTAGGCCCCTTGCTTAAAGATCATTTTCTTATTGTTAATAAAACTAGCCTTAGGCACACCTTGCATTTCACTTCTCACATTCAATTTTCATCCCAACCAGCTGATTTGTTCACAAAATCATTTCCTCTGCATCACACCTTATTGGGCAAGTTGGGTGTATTCTCATCCCCTCAGACTTGATGAAGGGTGTTGGTGTGAATATTGATATGCTCACTAACGAAGACAAGAAGTACAAAGAGTACTGGGCCTCCACACACAGGTTCAAATGGCTTATTGGTTCTTTTGGTCTTTTGGGGCTCAGTTGGTTAACGATCTCAGCCAACAGTGGGCTGAAGTATTATAAGCTAACTTACTTGTACTAGTTAACTACGAATAGGACGTATAGACATCTTGTTAGGAGTCTGTTTTTTGCTATTAGTAAACTGTTAAGATTCTTTTTCTTGTTGTATATATATATACGTACAATGGAAAAGATCATCAAATATATAAGAAAAGTTCTGCATATATCTTTTGTTTTCTTACAGTGAGCTAATCTAAAGTAACTGAAGTCTTAATCTATAGCAACTGCTCTGTAACCATATATGAAAAAGTTGAGAAATGTTTTTCCCCTATAAAGAATACACCCTTAATTCTTGCTTTAACACAACAAATACCATTTTGCAATGAGAAAATAACTTTTTCTTTGGCCTTGTATTGTTTTATTTTTCTTCTCTGTTTGACCAGACTGCTATGTTTTATTGTCCTGACTTGAGGGATAGAAATATGAAGATATTGTTTATGAAAAAATTAGGAAGGTTTTTAAGGCATCTCTAGCGATCAAAGATAGTATGAAAATAACATCTAAAACATATTTTCAATGAAATTGTTGGATTATTTTCACTAATTGTTTATTTTTATCCCCCACATTATCACATTCAAAAAACAAAATAGTGCAGCTAAACACCTTTATTTCTGGTTTCTTTCGAGCAATCAAAACATAATCACAAATAGATAGAGTAAAATAGGTCCAAAACACTCAAAGACTTCAAGTACTAATACGACAACTTTATTAAAAAATAAACAAAAAGCATCATATTAATTTGCAGCTTAGAAAAGAACACCATGACTTCTATGTTTCCAGAAACGTGTTCTTGATTTTGTTAAGCCTCTTCACTACTTCTTTCATGGTCACTCTTGATTCTGCCGTTTCCTTTGTGCAGTCTAAACCCAATTCTATCATCGACGCTATGCAGATTTCACTTTTACTGGTGATTTGTTCACTTTTACTGGTGATTTGTTCATCCTCAGAAAAAAGATTGACATCCACAACATCCATCATACTCCCTGAAAATGATTGTATTATCCATTTCCTCAGGTCAAGATTTTCATTGAATATCTCTTCATCTGTTGGCCTTCTTTTGGTCAAGACTTCCATCAACATGATGCCGTAGCTATAAACATCACCACTAGCAGACACTATTCCCTCCGAGCCATATTCTTAGAAAAAGGATTGAAGAAAAGTTACTCAATTGAAATACAACAATAATTCTGCATAAATAAAGACTTGCTCTTTTTACTTTTAGACCTTAGAGAGGCTTAATTATGATCTAAGAGAAAATCAAAGAGAGAAGATTTTTTTTTACCTGGTGCAATGTATCCAAGAGTGCCCAATGTCTCTGTATAAGCCATGGACTTGCTTATGGATAAAACTTTAGAGATTCCAAAATCACCAACATGAGCCACCATATCTTCATCCAAAAGTACGTTTGCTGGCTTTAGGTCACAATGAACTATTGGAGTGACATGACCATGATGTAGATATTCAACTGCCATAGCTGCATCAAGCATTACAGTGACTCTTTGATGAAGGTTCAAGTGGCGATCTTCTTTGTCATGTTGCGCTTTTCGAAAGTCAATTTGACTCATTTTCAAAGTTAAATTAGATTATATTAATTCAATAATAAATTATATAGTAATCACATGTGCAAAGCTTTGATGCAGAAATCAGTTTTCATATGTTTGACAAATACTCTGAAGTAGAAACAGCTAATTGATTCTTTCCCATTGCTTCTTCCAGTGTTGTGAAAAATGCTTCTTTTACTACCTAAACAATCAACCTTAGCTTCTTTACATACTGTTCTGATACCGACTTTGATGTTCCTCTATATAAAATAAACTCATGAATATAGCAGAAGCCTCACATGTATTACCGGCTCCATCCTGAATATAGCAGCTGCAAAATGTGCCACCATATATTTTTCCTTTGCATTCGGTATGATCAATCTGTTATTGATGCAAACACATGCCTAACTTGTAGATAAAATACAATAGGAGAATAAACTGCAGGAAAAAGATATGTTTATAGTATGCATGACTAGCATTCCGCTGGCCTAACGCCCTCACATAATTACTTTCTCAACTGATTTTCCCAAATATTTCATCTGAATAACTCTACTAATACTTTGGGGTATCTGATGAGAGGAAATCAAATCACTAGTACGTCCCACATTTTGACCAGGCAAACAAGCAAAAGATCACAAAAGTTGGGGGAAAAACAACAAATAAACAGAGGAGAGGGTGAAATAGAAAGCTAATGAAGAAAGTACACAGTATGTTGGCAGCACTAAATAAAATCAATAAATATATTGTAGGAAGGGATGCAAATATACCTTGGATAGAAAACCATCATATATAATTGCTATCAGGATGATCCTTTCGAACCACTCTCTCATCCACCCAGAAAACGTGCCATTACGACCAGTCTATTGAATCAATATATGGTATGGTGGCTCCGCCAATTTCCTAGTAGAAACGAAGAGAATTAATCAATCATTACTAGATAAGTGAACCACCGGAAACAACCACAGTAAAAACATCTCTCTCCTTACAAAATTTCTCCGATAAATAGGCAGTGTACTTCGCTAGAGCCACAGCAAGTTCCTCCTCGGAATCGTACACTTTCACTTGCGCACTGAGTTTCTCCGATGCACAAGTTAGCAGAGAGAGCAGGAGGAGAGGAGGCTAAGTTCAGTGCGCACTCTGCCATGTTAAATAAGAATGAAGAGACTGGTCCATTATATTTGTTCTTATGGAAAAGGATAGCAATGAGAAGATGAAGATCACGATTCGTCATAAATACTAGTACATATTTGGAGACAAATTTTCTTTTTGTAGTTAATATAATATTTTTAACGACAAAATATTAAAATGTCTTTTTATACTTTTCCCGTGTACCGAATACACCCTTAATTCTTTCTTAACTCAACAAAGGAGTACCATTTTACAAAGAGAAAACATGAATTGGAAAAAATGTGCAGTTAAGTAGAATTGATCTCTTTCAGCTTATACTCATACTCAGGTCACTAAAGTTATAACAGAAATGTTTATTGATTCTTTTATATAAATGTGACATTGTTTATGAAAAATCTTGTGTATTAAAATAGCAAGGTTTTTGAGACATGTCTAGCAATCAAATTGTCATTCAACCTATAAAACATATTTTCAATGAAATTAAACTCAGGATTATAGCAGAAGCCTCACACTAATCTTTCCAAAGGAAAATGATAATAAAATATATATCCTTCACTTAATTTTTGAAGGGTATTTCTCTATTTATGTTGTTCAAAGAAATGAATGAAATTAAATTGTAAGATATACTTGGAAACTTTAGATATCACACAATATTCCATTGATCAAGCAAGAGGTAACAGTGTTGCGGTAATGAAACTTGTTAATTGATTATCGACCAAGGACAAAAATTAGACGCAGGATTATAGCAGAAGCCTCACACTAATTTTTGGAGTGAAGAAAAAACCTGTTTGTGAGAGGAGATAACAACAGAAGCACCTTCAAATCCAAGTCTTTGAGATATGCTAAATCCAATACCTTGTGTAGAGAGAGAGAAATATGATATTTACTACTTCTTCTTCTTCTTCTTCTTCTTGGATAGGCGATGACGATGACGACGTTGTTAATTAATTTAATAATCGAATCATAAAAATCATCGATGTCAACAGTAATTAGACGGAAAAATATGTCATGACATAGCTCAAAGGCTGTTTAAAGGTCGGTTCACCAAACAAGTTGGTCAGCTAATTTTATTCCTCATAAATAAAATTAGGCGTAAAAATGTCTGGTCAAGTTTGGGGGTCAATCACTAATTATCGATGGTTCACTGGACTAACGTTAATACATGAAAAATGCCTAAAATCCTGTTTTGTGATAGCGAGCGAGTCCAAGTGACGTTCCTCTGTATAATGTCTTTTCATAATAAACTCATTTCTAAAGTCCAAAGAATACAGTAATTAGTACAAGGAAATGAAAAGAAGTTTATTGAATACAAATGAAGAAGCTAATGCAAAATAGTTTCATTCAAAACATAATTACAAATAGATAAAGTAAACTAGGTTCAAAACCACTCAAATGAAATTACAAACAATGCATAACTCCAAGTAGTACTAAAGAAACAAAAAACACCATCCGAAGCGATGCTGATCACTTCTATGTTTCCAGAAATGTGTTGTTGATTTTGTTAAGCCTCTTCACTACATCTTTCATGCTTATTCTTGATTTTGGCATTTCCTTTATGCAGTCTAAAGCCAATTCTATCATGGACGCTATGCACATTACACTTTTACTAGTGATTTGTTCTTCCTCACGAAAAAGATTGGCATCCACGATATCCATCATACTCCCTGAAAATGATTGTGTGATTCATTTCCTCAAGTCAAGATTTTCATTGAATATCTCTACATCTGTTGGCCTTCATTTCGTCAAGACCATGAGATTCCAAAATCACCAACATGAGCCACCATCTTCATCCAAAAGAATATTGCCTGGCTTTAGGTCGCAATGAACTATTGGAGTGACATTTATAAGATATTTACTCGTTTGTAATTTGAGAAGAAATTAATGATTTCCACAAACTTATATTGCAATAGCATCTCACATTGGCAAACTTTATAAAGACAAACACAAGAAGAGTGTTGCGTTTGCGTAAGTTCAGGGGCAAGGAAATTTCTCATTTAAGAAAAGTCAGTCAACTTGGATTATTAAGAAAGAAAGAAAATATATATTTATATTATATGGTCAATCAATTACTTGCATTATTAAGAAATAAATTTAAAAACATATGGATATATATTATATGGTCCAGAACCAAGTTTGATATACACTCTCATATATATTTTTATTTATTTATTTAATAACAATAAATAAATTAATCAATTTTGTTAGAGGTTCACAAGTTAATATATATATATATATATATATATATATATATATATATATATATATATATATATATATATATATTCATTTACTTTTTTAATAACAATTTAGGATCTACGGAAAAACTACTGAATTCGTCCGAACCCCCATTTAGTTACGCCCCTGCTTGCACCCCTTTGTCTCCAACCCTTACAAGAACATCCGTTAGTTTAGGTATGAAATCAACAAAACAAGAATATTTCAAGTTTTCTTTAACCTATTCACTCTTCATTTAATTTGTGTGTCTGTGTGTTGTTTATACATAAACAACTCCCTATGTTCTAGTTTGTATGACATAGTATGATTGGACAGGCCATTTGAGAAGGCATTGAAAACTTTTGAACTTTTTAGTCTTAAATTACATGTTAGAACATATGTATAACTACTATTTTTTTTTTTTGTCATTATCGAAAGAGTTTAATCCCTTGCTTATTTCATTGATATCAATAGGTTTATATACAATCAATACAAGACTATAATTAAGGAAACTAACTATCTATAAGAGGAACTAAATATACACTTAACTAATGTGATATATACAAATAATCAGAATATCTTTATCAGATATTCTAATAAATCAGAATATCTAGAATATCTTTATCATATATTCTAACACGCCCCCTCAGTCGAAGCGGGATGTCGCCGAATGCTAAGACTGTCCCGAAAATCCTCAAATAACACCAACGGAAGACCTCTGGTGAATATGTCTGCAATCTAATAACGCGAGGGGACATGTAATATTCGAGCTTGGCCGCGAGCCACCTTTTCTCGTACAAAATGTATATCCATTTCAATATGCTTAGTGCGTTGATGCTGAACATGATTACTAGCAAGATATATGGCACTCACATTGTCACAATACACAAATGTAGCCTGTTGGATAGGACAATGAAGTTCCAAAAGTAAATTTCGCAACCAACATGACTCAGAAACCACATTGGCACCTCTCGATATTCTGCCTCTGTACTAGAACGGGATAAAGTAGCCTGGCGTTTTGCGGACCAAAAGATCAAGTTATCACCCAGAAAGACACAGTAACCCGACGTTGAACATCGTGTGTCCGGGCATCCACCCCAATTAGCATCAGTGTATGAAATAAGAGTGGCTGTGGATGAAGGAAATAGGTGAAGACCAAAGTCCATAGTACCATGTATGTAGCGCAAAATGCGCTTAAGTGCGTGCATGTGTTCCTCCCTCGGGTCATGCATGAATAAGCATACCTGCTGCAC